AAAGTCCAAGAAGAACAAGAAGAAGGCCGCAAAAGCCAAAGCCGAATCCAAGGCCGACGAGCATGTAGAGGATGCGCCAGGCGATCACGATGACACTGACGTATGTTGTGAACTTCCCCTTGATTCTCATTGCACCTTTGCTGAGACCTCACAAGAACGAGCCCCATGATGCCAACGAGGACCCCATACAAGTGCCAGAATCCAACGGCGCCAAGCTTAACACGGTAGATGGCAGTCTACCAGATCGGTCTGTGAATAACCAGGGGCCCGTGGCTACTAGCGATGTCCCCTCAGGAACCGATATCCATTCCGACCCTGCTTCCGACGGCACCGAGCCAAAGGACCGATTCGATGCACTTGTTCGAGATCGCGACTCGTTACGCGCCGAAGTAGCCGACATGCGAAAATCATTGGAAGAGATTCAGTCCAAGCACACCGCAGACATGGAGGCCCTGCAGCAGAAATTGGACGACGCGGAGAGCAAAAAGGAGCAGGCGGAAACGCAGTTCCAGATGCTCCTGGAACGAGTCAACACCATCAAATCGCAATTAGGGGAGCGGCTCAAAGAGGATGCTGTGCGTGGATCAGAATTCACCCCTCGTAATATTTGGCTAATCTCGCCCTATAGGAGGAATTGGCTCTAGCGCGATCACAAATCGAAGACCTCGAAGATGAGAACAACAACTTGAAGGATGAGCTCAGTTCAAAGTCCACCCAACTGATAGAACTATCGGAAGACTCAGCAGAGAAAGAGAAGGAACTGTCTACTCTTCGGGACCGGACAAACTTATCCCAACAGAATTGGTTGAAGGAGAAGGAAGAATTGCTCGAGCAAGAGTCGTACCTCCAGTCGGAGTTTGAACAAGCGAAGGAGGCTATGCATAACTGGGAAATTCTTGCCATGGAGGAGCGATCTATCCGGGAGAACTTGAACGAGAAAGTCGGGGATCTGGAGGAGCAGCTTAGCAGTCTAAGAGATGGTTATGAACGGGCCACCCATGAACGTGACACCCAACAGTCAACAGTTGACGGCCTCCAGCGGGCTTTGCAGGAAATTCAATCGGCGCGAAAGCAAGAGCTGCGAGAGCTTGTCGAGAGCTCTGATTCTCAACTCGAGGACCTCAGACGCTCTCTGCGGGAAGCACAGAAGCAGGCCACTGACGCCGATAAGGCTCTCCAGAATGCGCAGGAAGAGATTGAGCGAGTCCGACCATTCGAGAAAGAGGTCAAAGAGAAGAACCTTCTCATTGGCAAGCTACGGCATGAGGCAGTCACGTTGAATGACCATCTGACGAAAGCCCTACGATTCCTCAAGAAAGGAAAGCCGGAGGATAATGTTGACAGGTACACCTGCGTCCTTATTACCTCGAGCCACCTCGATTACATGCTGACTTCATACACAGGCATATTGTCACCAACCATTTCCTGCACTTCCTTGCTTTAGACCGATCTGATCCGAAGAAATTCCAAATATTGCAACTGATTGCTGCACTCCTAGGCTGGAACGATGGTGAGTAACTACAAAACTTAAAAACGAAGGATTTCTGGAACCCATCTGATTTATTCAAAACAGAGCAACGTGAACAGGCAGGCCTTGCCCGCCCAGGGACTTCGAGTATGCCTGGGAAGCTCCGAGTCCCTGGCACTCCCCTCCGCACCCCGAGCACGCCAAATCTGGCAACGGAGTTCATGGACAATGGTGCCTCTAGCAAAGAAACACTAGCCGAACTATGGTCTAATTTCCTGGAGCAGGAAGCGGAAGTGGGTAATATGCCTTCATCGCGACGAGGAAGTCACCAAGGGCCTCCCAAATAATAAGAGCAGAAATGGTATGTATAAAGCAGAGAAAGTCATAGAACATGGTCCTTTTTATCTTCAATTATTGCCTTTCATGTATGTATAGCATGTATACATCTATACCCCTAGGTACTACATACCTACCTAGGTAGGTATATAATTATATAATCAGAAGCGCCAAGAAACAGCCAATCAGGCCTTAATAAGCTAAGCTGTATTTGGACGGAACGAAGCCGTGAGCTAAATTAATCGATCTATTCTTTTTTTCCTTTAATTTACCCTTATATGCCTCTCTCTTTCCGTGCCTTCTCAGCGTTGTACAAGCCATTCATTCGTTCGACTCACTCTGCATCTACAATGGCCTCCGGTAAGTAAAGAATGCTTCATGGCAGAACATAACCCCACCGTGCGAGGCAGACATACTGACAAGGCTACTTTTATACTAAAGCCTACCGCCCTATTGTGATTTCGGGCCCATCGGGGACTGGAAAGTCGACTCTGCTCAAGAGATTGTTCGCCGAGTATCCTGATACGTTTGGATTCTCTATCTCGGGTCAGTGCCAACACAAGCGACAAGGGGAGTGGAACGAATTCGCAAACGACTTTGCTCACACGTTTCCCTGAATAGAAACTACACGATCCCCGAGACCTGGCGAGCAAGATGGCCGTGAATATAACTTTGTCACAAAAGACGCTTTCCTCGACCTAGTGGCTAAGAACGGGTTTATTGAACATGGTTGGTTACACTGCTAGCTATAAGAAGTCGAGCGTCCGTTAACCGGTAGAGCAGCTCAATTTGGCGGGAATTTCTATGGGACATCGGTCCAGGCTGTCAAGAACATCGCCGAGAAGAAGCGTATCTGCATACTGGACATTGAGATGGAAGGAGTCAAGCAGGTGAAGCGGACGGATCTTAATGCGGTAAAGTGTCCTAGGAAATCCGATAATGGGAGAGTTTCTTTGCTAATGATTCGTAGCGTTTCTTGTTCCTTGCGCCGCCTTCTCTCGAGGTGCTGGAGCAGCGTCTCCGTGGTCGTGGCACCGAGACCGAAGAATCTCTACAGAAGAGACTCACTCAAGCTCGCAACGAGCTTGAGTATGCAAAGCAACCAGCGGCTCACGATAAGATTGTGGTCAACGACGATCTAGATAAAGCATATGTTGAGTTGCGGGATTGGGTTGTTGACGGTGGTAAGTTCGGTGCTGCGCAATAGTATACTACATTACACATAGGAGATGTGATCTAGTTGATGTCATGACCAGCGAGGCGACTGCCCTTTTGGTATCTTTCAATCCAAGAATAGAAGTTTCTCTCGTCAAGTTAATTAAGAAAACTAAGTACATGGAAAGACGGCACGAGCACTGAAGTGCCAATTCTCTTTTCCCTCGGCAATACAAGCTCGATGGTTCTTCCGAGAAGACACAAGATGGGATTTAGGATACAAGCAAAAAAAAAAACAAACGCAAAAGAAAGGGAAAATGGGATATCTGCAAGGGCCTGCTGGCGTCAAAAGAGGACAGTAAGTTTTCGGAGAGGGCCGTCGCGCAACGGTCACAGCGCTCGCATCAGAAATGAAAGATTACAGAGTTTAGTATCCGTTCATGGCTGCGCGCTGGGAGTTGCGGCTCAGCTCACGGTCCGCGGAGGGGCTGATGGGCCGGCTGCCACCGGTGTGGCCACCGGCAGCGCTGCTTTCCTTCAGGGCAAGCAGCTGCTTGGCACGGAAGGTCTCGTAGTGGATCTGGCTGGTGGTCTCGACCAGATCCTGAAGGTGAGTGCGGGTCAGGAAATTGCGCAGGTAGACGAATTCGCAGTGGTTCTCATCCTCGACGTTGATAACACCCCAGCGGTTCTGGCGGCCGCGAACTTGCTTGCCGTTGACAACAATGGTCTTCTCACTGCCGACAACCGAGAAAGGAATGATGTCCTGTAGCTAGAGGTTAATATCGGGTTATTACAGCTCCGCCTAGGTAAAGCATACCTTAATCTGGGCATTGATAGCACGCTCCTCATCATCGAGCTCATCATTATCGTAAGGGTACATCTTCAGGTTGTGGAAGGAGAACTCCTCCTTGATGCGCTCCTTGAACGCCTGACGCTCCTCGAGGGTGAGAGAGTCGGACTTGGCAATAACGGGAACAACATTGACGACATCGGACAGCTTCTTCAGAACAACGATATCGATGGGCTTGAGGCTATGCGGGGTCAAATGGGTCAGTCCACAGGAGCTCCAAGGAATGGGCGGGGCAAACTCACGCATGGCCGGAGGGCTGGATGAAGAACAAGCAGCAGTGAACGCGAGTATCTTGGATGTAACGCTCACGCTGAGCGGTGAGTTCCTTGCGGAGGTATGCTGAGTGCTGATCCTTGATGTACTTGACAATTGGGTCCCAGCTGATCATGATTAGCTTAGTTCTAGTAGCTGCAGTGTGACGGGGCTCGAATTACCATCGGTCGTTGTTGACCTGGTCACCGTAACCAGGTGTGTCGACAATGTTCAAGCGGAGACGGACGCCGTTCTCCTCAATAACTAGGCACTCGTCAGCTATTCCGCATTGAGAACAAGTTCCCGATAATAAACGTACTGTGCGACTCCGTCTTGATCTCGGTGGTGGAGCGAACGGGCTCAGAGGGCGTCAGACGGCCCTTGGAGTCAATCAGGTGGGATGCGAAGATAGTGTTGATCAGAGTCGATTTTCCAAGACCAGTTTGGCCTAACGCGCGAGAGCGTTAGCTGAGGCTTTTAGACCCACAGAGGTATTGCCCAACACATACCGACACACATAACATTGAACTGGAAGCCACGCTTCAACAGCTTGCGCTCGATTTGCGAGGTAATGCTGTCAAAACCGACATGGCTATGGGGGAAAACAGTGGGCTGTTGAGCCTGAGCTGCGGTGGTAGCGGCGGCCATTATGAATGGAGGAGAGATTAAGAAGGAAACAGTAACAGAAGCCCTGTGATTCCCAAAAAGACCCGGAGAGAAGAGAAGTACCTATATTGTAGGTATGTTGAAGCAAGAGCACCCCTTATTATCGTCCTCTTTCCGAACTCAGGGGTGCGCTATTCCTAATTGGGACTAGTGTCTCCCCACGAGAAAACTACCAATCTTCCCTCTTTTGCTTCCAGACCTTGTTGATTTAACCATAGCTCTACCGGTTTAATCTCAACCCCTCTTTTCCTGCTCGAAACGATCTCCACTATGGCATTGCGCCTCCTCCCTTTCGCTCCGGCAACCATGTCGCGCTCACTTTCCGAGTCACTCCAATTCCCCCGACTCGCTCGGTTCCTCCCGATCACACCCATCGCGACCAGATTCTTACAACCGGTTTCGATCTCTCTCAATATCCCATCTCTTCTGTCAGATCTTTGGGATTCCGTTCTGCGCGCCGTTCCTAAGAAGAAGACCTCCCACATGAAGAAGCGTCATCGACAAATGGCCGGCAAGGCCCTCAAAGACGTGAAGAGTCTTAATAAATGCCCGGGCTGTGGCCAGATCAAGCGTGCCCATCTTTTGTGCCCGAACTGTGTTAAAGGTAGGATTTGAGTCTAAGCTGGATAAACATGGATTATGGTTATTGCAGAAAAGCTGACTCTTCCACAGACATCAAGGAATCGTGGAGGACCCTGGACATGGCATGAGAGAGCACTGCAAGAAATAAGGGCTTGTCTTTGGAGAATCAAGATCAATGTTCTTGAAATCCCAATCTCGAACTCCAAAAAAAAGATTGTATTTCTAGAATTGGTTGTGGATATATGCTGCATGGCAACTGGCGTCTGGGTTTTGCGGGGAAATGTTTCAATATGACTTTATAACAATTCGATGTAGTCGAATTTGAACGTGATCTTATTCAATTTACCTCTTTTTCCATGTAGATCTGAAGAGCAAATGGACTACGATTGTCGATGTTATAGTTACGCCGAAACAGATGGTCCAGTTGGAAATAACCGGAAATAATCTGTTCATGCCATTACGACTTTACTACTCTATACATATATGAGCATGTCTGTCTCTAGTTAGTTCGATATTATATTTGTGGTCATGTAGTCAAGACAGTAGGTAGGAGGTACTTGATACACGTAGTGTCGATATCAAGTACAGCGTGAAACTATCTCAACCTTGATTGACTTTTAACAGCTTGATTACTTTACTTGGGATTCAATTGTAGAGATAAGCCCATCAGAGAAGATATAACACAGTACATTTATGGACCTACCTAGGTAGATTTGTGGTAATCATCCATCTTCAAGTGTCTTATAAAATCGCAATGAACAAAAAAAGCGGCGATAAAGGCGGAACGGGCCTTCGGGCCCCAACGTCATTGTTCCTCCGCAAGCAAAGTCTCGACACAGCCTTGAGAGAGCTCGGCATCATCAGAATGGTAAGATCGAACCAGAAAAAAAAAATATATTAATAATGGAAGTCATTACTAAGTGATATATTTAGTCGAAACAATACCTCTCGAGAGGTTCTGCGGACAATGGTGGGCTTCCTGATGCCCATATATCCTGCAGCGTGATCTGGCTAATATCTGTTTTACAGCGCACATTGTTGATATCTTCTCATTGGCTATAACCGACAAACAAATTCTGTCTACCTCGGGTGCCTCGTCCATCAAAGTACATTCCACCACGGACGCTGACTTTCCTCTGGTGCAGTCCATTGATGGTGCTCACACCATTGGCTGCCATCACATCGTGATCAATGGGAATGGCTCCCGTGCAATCACCGCAGGATTTGATGGTGAAATCAAGGCCTGGTCTTGCCAGGATGGCCATTGGACTGCAGACAGAAAACTGACTGGTAAGCACTACCCCTCTTTGATAACCCACAGGGTGCAATGGGCCTAATAGGAGCACAGCGGACCTCACAGGTGCCGACGCCTGGGCCATAGCTATTTCTGAAGATGGCCAGTATCTTGCTGGTGTCACGCAGGAGGGGCGCATTAATGTATGGGATTTGAGTGCCGATGGCATTCGCATTCGTGACCATGAGACCAAAGGCAATTTTGGTACTTGCATCGACTTGGTGAGATTTCAAATCCTGCAGCTGTATAGTGGCCCTTGTTAACTTTGTCGTTTAGTCTCCCGATGGTCGATTGATCGCTTCAGGTCATGAAGACGGTGCAGTCTACATCTTCAGCACTGAAACAGGCCGTATGCCATTCTCTCTCTTAGGTAAGTGAACTTGACTGAGCCAAGCTGAAATACAAGTTCTAATCCAGCCTAGGTTTGGTCAATCCCGTACGTGCTGTGGCCTTCTCGCCTAGAAGCAAGATTCTAGCTGCTGCCGGCGACTCCAAGGTCATTGTGTTGTACGATGCTTCCTCTGGTGAACAAATCGCCAATCTCTCAGGGCACTCTGCCTGGATCTTGTCCCTTTCCTGGAGCGACACTGGCGAGTACCTTCTGAGCAGGTCAGTCAATATTCTATGCATTTATATGACGACAAGCTGACATTTTCCAAGTTCGTTTGACGGCAAGGTCAAGGTTTGGTCTATGGAGACCAAGGCCTGTGTCGCTACACACTCAGAGACGGATAAAGCCGTTTGGAGCGCCAAGTGGCTTCCCAAGGTCGGGAAGACGGAAGGGTTTGCCACCGCTGGCGCAAACCGCAGCATTGCATTCTACCGCGAGGCTACTGGGTAAAAGGAGTATCTGAGCATGGGTTGCAGAAATGTCCTTGCAACCGCATTATGACGATTTCAATGGAAACCTTACTGAATTATGCATAAAAAATCATGAAATTCGTATTTGGAATAATAACAATAGCCCCAAACCCCCTTGTACTCGTCCTTAGTTCATCGTCTCAACAAACAACTTGCGCATCCGCTTCAAGAATGCCCCAAAGTCTCGGTCATCGTTGACGAGATCTACCACATGCTCCAAAGCATCCCGGTCAACCTTGGGGCGCGTGTGGAAAACCTCGTAGTCGCGACTGGCGGTGCCCAATTCAAACCAAGCCTCCGCCTCCCAGTCCTTCTCCAATAGATGACTGTAGACGAACTTTAACCGGTCCTCACGACCAGCACCTTCAATTCGAAGGCAAAGGTAATCCTGCCAAAACTCCAACTCCGGAAAATTGAGACGAGATTGTGCATCCAAATGTTGTGCGTGAGACTTTTGTGCCTCGACTTTTTGACTGATAGCTTTCTGAGTCTCGGCAATCTGCTGCTTCAGACGGTCACGTTTGGCGAGGCGGGCATCGCGTTCCAAGGTGATAGATGAGATAGCCGCATGCATTTCAGCCGCTTCGGCCGCTTCCTTTTGGAGGGTTTGTTCGTGGGTTTGTGATTTGAGGTTGAGAATTTCAATATCGCGCTGTCGCATGCGCTCGTCCTCTGACAGGCTGCGTTAGGATGCAGTCATGGAACGCGATGGGAATATTGGGAGTTTCAATTATCAACTCATACCTTCATATTCAGCCAGATTAATGTGGAACTGGTTCCGTTCCTCCAAGAGCCGTTTGCGACCACGTTCAATAAATGCGTCGAACTTCACTGTGAATTGTGCCATGGAATTGCGCAAGTCCTCGAATCCAAAGTTGATGCTGGGCAATGAGTCTGCCATTGACGGCGCATCCGCCGAGGCGAGCGGTGGGCGCATGCCACTTGTCGAGAGTGACGGTTCAAATGAAGAAGTCATATCTGATAATTAAACTGTGAGTGGTGAGTGGTAAGTGGTAAGTGGTGAAGTCGAGGACGCGGGGAACAATGCCAGAGAGTTCATAAGGTGTGTTTTGGGTTGCGGCGCAACAATTCCGAGTCTTATCGATAAGGATCCAAAAAAAACTTCCCGACTTTCCGTCGACTCTCTTCGCATCCTCACATTATGCGCATATGTATATGAACAGTTGGGCTCTTACTATTGCAGTATCGACATGGTTTGGCCGGGTCCTCAACTGATCGCAAGAAGCAAAGAAAGATCCGATGGATGAACATCCAGGCAGTGCTCTCCACTATGGGCACGTAGGACGGGCTATCTACCTTCCTGACGAGCAGGACTGGATATTTACTCGCTCTTTTGCTAGATGTAAGTACTTGAGCCCACTTTCTTCCGAACCAGCTAATATGTTCGCAAGCCCCGTCGATCCAGTATACCGGAGTGACCAAGACGACAATCCCATCGCCGTTTCCCCCAGCCAAAGCTCAACCAATACCCAGAGTAGCACCGAAGAACCCCAGGAAACTGATCACGACCGCCTATCCCGATTTATCGGCATCATGGTCCTCCATTCGCGCTGAACCTTTGTCAAAAACCGTTACGACTATAACCGAGAAATATGACCCGGAGATCTCTGAGCTTTTCGATATCGGTTATGCGGTGGATCAAAGGCGTCATGACAAGAGACTACGCTCAGTCCCGATCGCGGTGGCTGTTACCGGAGCATCTCGTAATATAATCTCATTACGAACACTGGAAGAGGAAATTTTGGAGTTGACTTCTCCACAGAAGTTAGCATTTCGTGCTCCGTCAATCAGTGACGTTGAAATGTCTGAATGGTCCAACTGTGGCGCGCCGGTACGTCAAGTACGCTTTGCACGTCCCTTGGAGGAGAAGCCCGTCTTCATGGCGGCTCGTCTCCAGACAAAGACTACAATATTCCGACCTCTTTACCAGTGGGATCCTGTGCCTATGCACTTCCCGGAAGATACCATACTGGGATCCTCCAAGCCGTTGAAAAATTCTCGGCTGGGTGCGAATCCAATCGCGGAGGTATCTGTGTCGCGAACTGGTGGCTTCTCACATGCCGACGTGACCTTCAACCCCTGGTATCAGAGACAGTTCGCCATTGTAGATATCAGAGGCAAGTGGAGTGTCTGGGAGATCACCGGCAGGCAGCGTCTCCAGCAGTCCACTTGGGCTGTCGAGCTCGTTAAATCGGGCTCGTTGCCCTTGCGGGATTACAAACGTAAACATAGTTGTCCTCGGCTTGATGGCTGGGCATCTGTCGAGTGGGTCCATAATGTTGGATCGATAGTTGTCTCCAATCGTCACAGTGTCATAATCTATGCCTTCACCGACAACCAGATTCCACCACGCACGGTTGAGCTGGGAATGACAAAGCAGTCTGAATGGGTTCTCGCCGTCCAAAGAAACCCGCGCAAGCCATCGCAGTTCTTCGTCCTGACGACAACTCGAATATTGTGGTTTGATGTCGGAGCCCTCCCTGGCGACGATGATACGAGCCTTTCTATATACCCCCAAGTATCCTGGAGGCACTTCCGAGATCCCGAAGACACGACCCTGCGAATTAGCGACATAGTCGTATACCAAGGTATGTCCCAGCGCGATTGGAAGAGAACTTCAAATACTAAATTACTGTCTAGATGTGTATCTCGTTCTGTATTCGCAGATCAATCGATTGGTACAAGCATTCCCATGTCCCTTTATATCCGACGAAGAGACCGAGTCTATATCTGTGCCCGAGCCGGTGGTGCTAGATGCGCCCCTGTTGGCAGATATACCGCCAACTAAACGCGACTCCGTGGTGCGATTCTCCAGATTCGTATTTAGAGAGATTGCGCACTCTGTCAGCTCACTCGGTCGGAATTTCTATAACGCCCACTTGCCATTGATCAAGCTTTTCTGGATGGATTCTGATTTTGCCGTTCACGAATCTACTTTCAAGGGCCCGCGTGGCGATCCGGACGAGCCGGACTTGTTTCGTGAAAG